GACCTTGCCTCAGTAGAAAGTTAAGCTGAATGTTTCTTTTCTCTTTTCTTGAAGGATTGGTTTATTTATAAAACAGAACTTGCTATAAATAAAAGCATGAGAATGATGGGTTCATCAGGGCAGGCAGAGTTGTTCGACTTCATCTCTCACCAAGTCCGTTCCCAGAAAATGTTTTTAAGTTCTTCTCTATTAATACACAGTGACTAGTGTCTATTTGGCAATCTTTTAGTCTAAACAGATCTCTCAGATTGAAAATTCCACATGTCTGGCAAGAATTATGAGCTTTGAAAGCACACAGGCAATTACAAACCATTAAATAGCCCGTCAATAAGCAGTTCTCTGTCTCTTTGCTAACTATTATGGAAGCAGTTTCACCTAACATACAACATGTCTTTTGCAACTTATGTGGGTCTCATTCCCATTTAAAAAACTTTAAGGATTTTTCTATTTGAACAGTTTTTTTAATTCTTATTTTTAAAATAACCAAAGTGTATAACCTTACTGTTTCAAACAATTATGGTCCTATTACTTTCCCATAATGTAAGCTGAAGATATTTTTTGCCACCCCCTCAACACCACCACCTGTATTTGACATTTAAAAGGATACATTTTTTTTTTCATTTTTTTTTAAATAATAAATTTTATTTTTATATTCCCCCATACAACTGCACATGCCCCATTCTGACCCCAATCCCTCCCCTCCCGGCCCCCACTCCCCAAAAAGTGTCTCTGGTTCATAGTTTTTTGTTGATTTTGATTTTCACTTTCTTATAGTTATTCATTTTCCTGGTCCTTTATTTAAGTTGTCTAGATTCCTGCTATGAATGAGACCATCTGGTATTTTTCTTTTTCTTTTTTGCTTATTTCGCTGAGCATGATCCCTTCCAGCGCCATCCATGTTGCTGCAAATTGCATGTGTTTATCTTTTTTGAATGCTGAGTAATATTCCATGGTATATATGTACCACATCTTCTTGATCCAGTCATCTATTTTTGGGCATTTGGGCTGTTTCCAAAGCTTAGCTATTGTAAATAGTGCTGCTATAAACATAGGGGTGCAGGTGTTCTTTGGAATTGATGTTTCTGTGTCCTTTGGGTAAATACCTAGGAGTGGAATTGCTGGATCATATGGAAGCTCTATGTTTAGTAGGTCCAGAAATCTCCACACAGCTCTCCATAGTGGTTGGACCAGTTTGCATTCCCACCAACAGTGCAGGAGAGTTCTAAAAGGATACATTTTTAAAGCCAACAAATTAACCTTAAAATACACCATGTTCCATTGTGTATGTAAGCCACATCTTCTTAGTCCTCTGATCTGCCTTTGGGCACATAGGTTGATTCCATAGCTTGGCATTTATAAATAGTGCTGCAATGAACACAGGAGTGCATCTCTCCCTTTAAATTAGTGTTTTTGCATTCTTTTGATAGACACCTAGGGGTGGAACTGCTTACTTGGTGGTGCCGAGTGTGGTGTGGTAACATATACCTGAAAGGTGTGATTCTGTACTTCTAAATCATATACAATGTTGTAAACCAATGTTACCTCAATAAGAAATAAGCTGTGTTTCTTTTTCCTCTAATTTTGAACTTTTTCATATCTCCCTATATTTTGGAAAATAAAATAGGCTCAGTATAAATTTTCAGTTATCCTTTGCTAATTAAAGTAAGTTTATCTCTCCCCTAATGTGAACTATTTTGGTTCCTTGGGTCCAATAACCCAAATAAATGCATCCTTTCCCCCCCCAAGAAAAAAAATGTTGTAATTTGTTTTACAGTAACTAAGTCTAATTAGTTCTATAAAGTGTCCAAATTATAATAATACAGCAGCTTTCCTTTGTTTATTTTCATAAATTTTCTCAGTTTTTTGAAAACCAAATTCCAGAATTAAGGTCATCTCCTAAGATCATTTTAGAGTCTAAATGCCAGAAAACAAATAAAATTTACATCTTACTCTATTGGCAAAGTTTGTCCTGAGTTTGCCTTACTAAGGCTGTCAGAGACAACAAGTATACTTGATTACCTCTCAAGATATTACTTATAAGTAATGCTTGATTTGTTCCCAAAAATGTCTATAGTGTGTTTATAATGGCTAAATAGCAAGATAAAAACATGTTTCATAGTTCAAAAGATAATCAAAATAGAGCAGTGGGCTTGGGAATAAGGTGTTGGAATACATGCAAGTAATGACAAGGTAACAAAAACAAGTTACACTATGGTATTACAAGGCATGATCTCATGGCAAAATCACTGATATAAAGAGAAAGGATATTAGCCTACTTTGGCAAGTCACTATGATACAGTCAAGAGCTATGCCTATCAAGACAGCCGGAATTTTAAACTAGCATATCAGGGTAACCTAACATCTCCTTAAGCCAAGTTTCCCCAAGAATCACTATTCTTTGTTGATCTTTGTTTGAGACAATTGTACTTCCAAAAGAATTCCACGGATTTTTTCAAGGCTCTATTTCTAAGAGTCTTAAGCTCTCCTTAGTAGTTTCTAGTGGATTTCCTTTTCCCAGGTAGTAGCACTTCTTTTGTCTCTGCCATTATCACCTTGCTCTGTAAGAAAGAAGGTTGAATATGAGACTAAGGTTAAAATGTGGAGCGGGTTACCTAAAATATAGGGTTGGGACTTGATTATTGTCATTTGTAGACTCTTACACAGCAATAAGACAGGATGAAGCCATGGGTTAAGAATGATTAGACTGGGCCTCCCCGGTGACGCAGCAGTTGAACGCTGGGCTATGAAGCTGCCTGCAGCCTCAGCAGTGCCAGTTCGATCCCCTGGCGCCAGCGAAGGTCCCACATCGCGCAACAGACCTATCCTGCAGTGCCCGCTGCTCCCCTCAGCAGTGTCCTCCTTCTGTCTGCCTGTTCTGCTCCCCGCTCTGGCTCTGGTGAATTCTCTCACACTCCCGTGCTTCTGACTGTACCCAGTGCTTGTGTAAATAAATCAATCTTTGGGAAAAAAAAGAATGATTAGACTGGCTGTGGTGTGTGAGATGGTTTTGAGAGGGAAAAGTTTAAAATTAAGGGGGTATCCCTATGTTTATAGCAGCACTGTTTACAATAGCTAAGCTTTGGAAACAGCCCAAATGCCCAAAAATAGATGACTGGATCAAGAAGATGTGGTGCATATACACCATGGAAAATTACTCAGCATTCAAAAAAGATAAGCACATGCAATTTGCAGCAACATGGATGGCGCTGTAAGGGATCATGCTCAGCGAAATAAGCCAGAAAGAAAAAGAAAAGTACCGGATGGTCTCACTCATAGCAGGAATCTAGAAACTTAAATAAGGGACCAGGAAAATGAACAACTATAAGAAAGTGAAAATCAAAATCAACAAAAAACTATGAACCAGAGACACTTTTGGGGGGTGGGGGTGTGGAGGGGAGGGATTGGGGTCAAAATGGGGGGTTGCAATTGCATGGGGAATATAAAAATAAAATTTATTATTAAAAAAAATAAAATTAAGGAGGTATGAAAGGCATTTCCAGAAATTATAAACAGTTTAGCAAGTCTAAAACACAAGGTATATGTGAAAAGTAGGTTATTATAAGTCATCTATATCTGAGGTCATGAGTTCCAGAAGTGAAGCAGCAATAGGGATGAAGAAAAATGGAGAAGAAAATATTAAGAGTTGGAATTAGATTAAATAAATGTTAACTGGAAGTGAAGCAAAATTGGGGAAGATTCCTCCTCCCTTCACCCTCAGTTTCCCAGATCTGTGTTGTTTTCCTCATCTATAATTTTAATTTCAGTTGTCTTCAAGTCTCAGATTAACAGTGCCTTCCTGTTCTTTTCCTCCTGAACCCATCAGTCTTAGCAAAACCCTCCCAGACTCATTTCATGTAACCAAGATGACAGGCTGATAAATTTGGGGCTTGATTATCCTAAAAACAGTATCATTTTAATGGGAGTCAAAAATCTATTAGAAACTACAGAATAGATTTCAGGTGAGAGCTAAGAAATTAATGGATGGCTGGATTGTTAGTCCTGGTACCCTAAAATCATATGAGGAAGCATGCTGTGTATCTCATCAAGAAATAATTAAAAGGAAATAACAAAGATGACATTAAGAGCTTGTCTCTTAGAAGACCTGAAGAATGGTGATATGCTGCCAGAATCAGATAATCTGCAACTTGTTTTTTTTTTTTTGACTATCTTTTTTTTTAAAATAATAAATTTTATTTTTATATTCCCCCATACAATTGCAAACCCCCCATTCTGACCCCAATCCCTCCCCTCCCGCCCCCCCACCCCCAAAAAGTGTCTCTGGTTCATAGTTTTTTGTTGATTTTGATTTTCACTTTCTTATAGTTGTTCATTTTCCTGGTCCCTTATTTAAGTTTTCTAGATTCCTGCTATGAGTGAGACCATCCGGTATTTTTCTTTTTCTTTTTGGCTTATTTCGCTGAGCATGATCCCTTCCAGCGCCATCCATGTTGCTGCAAATTGCATGTGTTTATCTTTTTTGAATGCTGAGTAATATTCCATGGTATATATGTACCACATCTTCTTAATCCAGTCATCTATTTTTGGGCATTTGGGCTGTTTCCAAATGCAACTTGTTTTTATAATACAAAAAGGATAAGAGTAGGAAGACCTGTGAGCTCTAGAAAGTAGGACAACTTTATATTATAAAAGTAGTAGTTAGCTTAGAAGCCACTGTCAAAGGCAGAACTAATGTACTGCTTTCAGAGATCTTGACCAAGCCTTTATCCTGGGTACAACCAATACATTCAAAGAGGAATGAAATGAGTCTTTCTCTCAAATGTTCATCTGAGAAAAACTGGTAGTCTTAAATCAAGCTTATGAACAATTTATGTTCTGTTCCTTTTCGTTGAAGCCATAGATCATTATTCTACTTTCTCTATCTTTTCTAAGATCAAAACTAAATGAAAGGAAAAAGATATAACCTGATCCTCATAGCTTTACAGAATGGCAAACAGGAAGGAACTTCAAAGATCATATAATCCAATCTTATTGTATTTCAGATAAGTGAAGATACCACAGAGAAGTGATTTACTCAAGATCACACAATAAATCATCCACCAGATACTGAGGTATGATCCAGGTCTTCTGCTTACTATTTCTACAATACTTGTACCATGCCCATTTTCATACTCCATGCAAGGATTCCTGTTGATTTTGATAAATCTATGAAATGATATAGAAAACCGATTAATTCAAATCAACCAATATTTGAAAGGTACTGTACTGTATACAGCATGAAATACAAAAAGAATAAAACTCCATTATTGCCATTTAAGTCCAGTGGGGCTGGGGTGGGAAGACTGGGAAAGTTTAAATTGAATAACCACAGAGATATCTATGACATACTAAACAATAAATAAACATTATCAAGAAAAAATACAGACAATATACTGCAGGACTTCAAAGGAGAAAAATATTACACTGGGTTGAGGGGATTAGGAAGGCTTTTTGTTTGACTAGAAACAAAAAAAGGGACACTATTATTATATTCATTTAAGAGATGACACCAGCCCTCAGACACTTGTAGATCACCAGCTTTACCTGGACCACATTTAGAAAACACAACAGTATATAAGTCATTCTCATTCATACATAATCATATTGCAGCAATAATAAAGAGTATGATATATGAATTGAGACCTTATATTCTTAGATTCTATCTCTGGGTTTTCTTATTTACCTCATTCATAGGAGTTTGACCAGGTTTCAGGTCAATGGAAGCTAAGAGATGATGCAAAAAGAGCATCAAATAACCGATAGATAGATAGATAGATAGATAGATAGATAGATAGATAGATAGATAGATAGATAGATAGATAGATAGATAGATAGATTTTCTCCATGGACTTAAGATGAGCTAAGTAAAAGATAAAAAGATCTAGGGTGACTCTTGAATTAAATAATTGAAATCAAAACTCACACATCCACACATTTACTTTGTCAGTTCAACTTCACCATACAAAATCCCAGATAAGAATGGTAGAATAGAGTTTTGGTAGAACCTGCTGTCAGAGACAAGTGTTCTCAAGGAACCTGAAAAGGAAAAGTGGGTAAGGAGTGAAAGTATTGAGTGTCTTCTATGTATAAAGCTCAGAATTTCTAGAGGAACCACGAAAGAACCTTCAGAATTTCAGGGCCTCCCTGGTGGGGCAGGGGTTAATGTCTCAGTGCTATTAAGTTATCCCTAGCTACTGCAGCAGGAGTTCAATCCCCATCCAGGAAGCTAACCCACATGGCACAGCAGACCTCTTCTGTCTCACCTGCTGATCCCCTCCATAGTGTATTTCAGTAGATCTGCCTGTTCTGCTCCCTACTCTGTCTATGGTGAATGCTCTTACCCCCCGTACCTCTGGCCTGCACCCCAGCTCTTGTATGCATAAATAAATAAAATAAATATTTAAAAAACAAAAACAAATTGCACGCAAGAGGGCCTCCCTGGTGGCGCAGGGGTTAAAGTCTCAGTGCTATCAAGTTATTGCCAGTCACTGCAGCCTGAGTTGTTCATGACCAATCCCTGGCCAGGGAGCTAACCCACATGGCACAGCAGACCTCTCCTATCTCACCCACTGCTCCCCTCAGCAGTGTATTTCAGTAGATCTGCCTATTCTGTTCCCCCACTCTGTCTCTGGTGGGTCCTCTCACCCCCCGCATCTCTGGCCTATACCCCAGTTCTAGTATGCATAAATAAATAAATCTTTAAAAAAATAAGCTTCAGAATTTCAAACTTGAGAAAACACCATGCGGCTGCCCAGATAATAAAATCTTTATTCATTTGTGCATGTAAGGAGTGGGCTAAATTGTAATTGTACCACTATCATAAAAATGGACAACTAGTACATTAGCCTGGTGATATCATATTTCTCATATATGGGTCTTAGAAATTCATAACCTTTTCTCATTCTATATTCTGGGGAAATATAAACCTTGTCTCAACACAAAACTGTGACAGAACCAAAGTTAACTTTCTCCATTAATGAGTGGAATCATAATTTCAGGATTAGAAAGGATTTTTTCATTCCATATTCTATTTTATCCATTTTGATTACAGAGGCATAGAACAAATGAAACACACAAGTTTACTGCCTGGTGTAACAAGATATAAAAGTCAACTCAGAAATTCCCCACCTTCAATCCATATTTCACTCAGACTGCTCATAGCAGATTACCTGGAAAAGAAATTTCAGAGGGAGAAGAAACTAGAGACCTGAAAATTTATTTGAGTGTAGGGTGGGCTCAAACAGCAGTATTGTAGCTACAGGTATAGGTTCCTACTTACAAAACTTTCCTGAATTTTATGCTTTTGCATTTGTTTTATTTTCCTTTTGGCTTAATTTTCAATAGAGGTCCTTTGAAACATTCCATTGTATTTATACTTCTAAGAATAAATTAAAGGGAGATGTTTATTTTGTGGGCACTTGGACCACAGATAAATGAAAAGCAGCCAGCCCCTGGGGTCCTTCTAGACAGGGATGAACATCGTAGGGCAACACAAATTTGAAAGAATATTGTTCAGGTTACTGCTGTTTCAAGAAAGCCCTTTTTTATCATTTCTTGGAGATTTTTTTAGACTTTGTTAACTGGTGAGAAGAAACATACACTCGTGGCAAGTTAACTATAGAAACTACAAAATAGTTATCTCTTATATAGAACATATACCAGATTTGTGATATGAACAAATTATTACCATGAGTTTATAAGAAGAATCCAAAGTCACCTAAGCTAACTTCTTTCAAGGAAACCTGTCCCGAAGCAATCCCATACAGATATACTCAATATTTTTAATATTCTAATTTTTCTTCCTGGTAAACTACATCCTTGGACATGAACTTGCAAATTATTTTTCCTTTGAATTTTATAACAAACTGCTTAGAAGATAAATGGGAAATACCATGGTTTAATAAGAGGAATATTTTTGTAATACTGTGTTCATCTTTCGATACAGAAGCTACATGCATATAGCAACAAACATCTGCTATCAGTCCTGGGCTGTTTTACAAGTTGCCCCGCTGGGAATGTAAAATTGAATGGAAAGTTGTGGAAAGAGGCACAAAATCCAAAAACTAGCCCTAAATCTTTCAGTAAAATTTGAAGTCCCATCACAACCTAGATCTGTGCTTTAAGCTGCTAAACTCCCATAACCCTTCTGGACTGCTCCTAAGGTCATTAACTTCCCTTTCAATCTTATTATTTCAGATTAGGCTTCATCTGATATTATACCATAAGAAGCACGGACCACTAACCAGGAACTTTTGTGAAGGGTACTGCAGTGCCAGAAAGAGGTATGGCTCTGTTTTATAAATGAATCTTGCTTTTCAATTCACTAATTATCTTAACAAAATAATTTTATCATCTGTACTAAAATTTAATTACATTTATGGTTATTGCTAGTTTATATTAATCAATACCCCATTTGTTTAGTGCTAAGATAACTCTTACCATCTTGTTTTGTATCCTGTCCACATTTCTGAGTCATCACTCTTCTTCCCCTCCAGACTATGAGCTGCTTAAAGGCAGGAATGGAGGCTTAGGCATTTCTGTATCCATTTAGTATGTCTCATTTTGGGGTAATCATAGCAAATTCCCAAATTCTATAAAAATTAAATGCTGTTTAAGACAAGCAAAACCATCATCTGTGAAATGAGAAGCTAAACTAAATAATCTCTACCCTGGGATTGATTACTTTTGTGTAAGTTTCACAGTCTTCTTTTTATGGCCCAATATAAGTCACTGACTTTGTCATTAAAAAAAAGCAATTGAACCTTAATATTAAAATTTCTAGGAAAGCTTATTTTGATCTATAAGGACTGGGAAGTTTAACAGGACTATAGATCATCTTTAAGTTTTTTAGTAACATATTTATCAATTTGTTTTTACTCATTTCATCTAGAGATCTGGGAATCTCATATTTACACAGAATGCTTAATAGACAAGATAAACAAATGATTAATCTGTGTCAAGATATGGGTATTTTTAATCGTACAATTAGCTTTATGATTTAGTACCCTCCTTAATACTTTAGAAAGCAACTTCACAGAAGAACAACTTTAGGCCCAGAGGGTGGAAAGGACAGAGATGAGCACATGGCTGTCATTAAATTATAATAGAATGAAAAGATAAAGTGGTTTTTAAGGACAATACCTTCAAGTAATAACTGGTTCCATCATCCATTCACTCACTCAGTTAAAATTCATTGAGCATTTGTGAGCAAAGTACATACATTTCACCCCTGTGTAAGATGCCTTCATATAGATCAACCAGATAATCTGTGAGGAGAGATAACATAGGCACACAAATCATTGATCTGCAAGATAGCTTTACAGTTTTCTACAAGAGAAAACTCATATATTACTTGGGATAGAAGATGAAGGAATGCTTGGTCAAGAAAACATAATTCAAGCTAACATTGGTAGTTTTTTATATACATAGATGGAGGAAAAGGAATTTAAGGAAGAAGAAATGCCATGAAAAAAGATAAGTAGGTGGGATAGTGCATGTCCCTGGTATAGTGAAATAGTGGCTGTATTGAATGATAGAGTAGGAGACAAAAGCTAGGAAATTTCAGTTATAAACAGACTAGACAGCATTAAATATCAAACTAAGAAATTAGGATTTTTCTGCTACTCTGTATCAGGGCTCTCTTCAGCAATTGATGAAAAAAGTTTTGAATGTGTACTGACTAATTGACAACCATGTGCTCATTTCCGTCCAAAGTTATTTCAATATTAAGATTTCATATACTTCATTCCTCACAATGGCACCAACTTCCTATAATAATGTGTAAGGATCCAATAATAAGAAATATGGGGTATATCTTTTCTGATTTGATTAGAAAGATTACACGACCTCTGGCTAATGTTTGTTTTATTTTCCAGCATTTTAAATTAGTTAAGAAACCTGAGGTTATAAGAAACATTTTAGCTACAATTGATTTTAAAATTAATACCAAGATTTTGGAGGATGGCACAGTGGTAAACAGAGCCTTTAAGTCTGGTACAATCGGAGTCGAGTCAGGCAAAGTTTATCGTTATATGTCATGTTGACCGAATGCATGATTTAAAATGAATTGCGTTGGTGGTAGGTGTGGTGTGAAAACAGGCTTCTGCAGAGGTGTTGATCCCATTCCTCTGAATCATATACAATATTGTAAACGAAGGTTACCTCAATTTAAAAAATACAAAAAAAAAAAAGAAATTTGGATTGTATTATGAAGTCTCTCGGGAACGGTTGAAGGTTTTAGAGCAGGGACATAATTGGTAGCAACAATGTATGGGAAATTACTCTGGAAAGAGGGTGTAGCAGGATATAGTGAGGGTTGATGGTGTTAGGAAAAACAGATGGTAGTTGTCTTTTTTTTTTTATTTTTCGATTCTATTTTTTCTCAAATTTCATTAGTTTGCCAGTGATTTACATAGTATATAATTTTGGGAGTACAACTTCACACAGCCATAGGTGCACATGCTTCACCCATCCTCCACCAAAATTATCTAATACTTTTTAAAGTGTAGTTCTTTTTTTAAAAGGCTGTTATTAAAATCTCAACACCACCATCTAGTGTCTGACACAGGGCTAACAAACCAAAACAGTTTCTCTTTCTTCCACAGTTGCACCAGGGTTCAGAGAACCAATGGAGAGAGAGGCAGACCGCCAGAAAGCAAACTGAGAAATAATGCAGAGTTTGGAAATAATAAACTCATTTTTCTCTAGGATCTTAGATAATCACCCTCAGAGTAATTCATCAATTTTTTATCATTTATGTAGAGGGCAGGACCGGACATGGAACAGGTTTTCTGATCCCATGCAGACCGGGTAAAGGAGGAGTCTGAGTCCTCAGTAGTTTTGCAGGTTTTTTATTTGGGGTTCACCAGGCATATGGCAGGCAGGGGTGCTGGCTGGGGGCTGGGAGGCTGACAGGCCTCCCAGCCCCCAGCAAGTCTTCACTCTATCTGGGCTCTCTGGAGTTGGTTCTGCTGCTTCTCAGCTTCTCTTTCGGCTTCATACTGCTGCTGCTGCTACTGCTACTACTGGCGTCCCCGTGATGCCGCCCTTAAAAAGCACAGTCTTAGCCCAGCTGAATCCCATCTACCTATGCCCACACCCTATTCCAGGTGCCCGCCATCAGGCATGCATTCAGGACAAGGATCCATCATCTATCCTGATGGCGGAAGGGCAGAAAAGCCTGATATTTTCTTTACCCTACAATATATCAACAGTTATGGGTGGAAAATACTACTACTTCTTAATGAAGGGGGAAAAACAATGACTAGCAAGGATGGACAGATAGATGGATGGAAGGATGGATGGACGGATAACACATACTCACTGGAAATATAATTGTTAGCAGTAGTAAACCCGGGAAGCTGTATTTTAATGGCAGGAATGGCCAGTGCAGTTTCCCTATGACCCAAGCAGACAGGGTAAAAGAGGAGAGAGTCCTGGAGCCCTCGGTGGCTTTTGCAGGCTTTTATTGGGATTTACCAGGGACATGGCAGGCAGGGGTGCTGGGGGGCTGGGAGGCTGGCAGCCCCCAGCAAGTCTTCACTCTTTCTGGGCTCTCCGGCATTCTCTGGTGGTCTCGGCTTCTCTTTCGCTCTCATTCGTGGTTCTGCTCTCTGCTTCTCGTGGTTCTTCTGGCGTCCCCGTGACATTACCCTTACAAGCCCAGTCTTAGCCCAGGTGTACCCCCTTACGCATGCCCACACCCCACTCCAGGTGCCCACCATCAGGCATGCATTCAGGACCACAAGGATCCATCATCAATCCTAATGGCGGTAGGGCAGAAAAGCCTGATGCTTTTTCACTTACCCTACATGTATCCAACCTACAACCACTATCATAGCTGCCTGTTTCTATATCCCTAGAGCAGATATGAAATCAGTCCCTCAGTTCCTAACAGGTCTTGCATACTTAAGCAGTCTTTCTACCTTACAAATCCTAACTGCTGGAAATAGTATTCTCATTTTTCTCTAGGATCTTGGGCAATCACCCTGAGAGTGATTCATCTTCAATTTTTTATCATATATCAACAGTTCTTGGTGGAAGATAATACTATTTCTTAATGAAAGGGGAAAAAGTGGAATGACTAGCCAGGATGGAAGACAGAACTATTTTAACTGTTTTACCGAGGAGCAAAAGTTGTATAAAAGGCCAACAAGTCAGACTTTGCTCAAATATTATATACCACATTACATATCGATGAGCAGTGCCCGACTTCTTAAAGAATAAAAGAAAAAAATTTCAAAGAGCATTAAAGAAATCACTACTTCCACACTATCTTATCCTTAGCTCTCTCTGATCAGAGCTTGTTAACTTGATTGACTTCCCTGATTGACTTCCCTGATACAGCTGAACTAGGCTGGACCAAGTAACAACCTCCTGCTGTAAAAAAGGCGACCATATAATGTTAAACAGTAAAGATTTGAATGTGCTTCTAGGAAAGAGCATAAGAATGACCAAGTACAAAAATGTCCTCACCCAAAGATATTCCAACTAGTTTTGCTACATCTTTCCTCAGATACTTAATTTGTGGTGCAGATTTTAAAAATGTATTTCACCTGTGTGGATTTTGTAAAGGCAGGAATACCACAGTGCAGGTTTTCTGATCCCATGCAGACCGGGTAAAGGAGGAGTCAGAGCCCTCAGTGTTTTTTTTTTGCAGGGTTTTATTGGGGTTCACCAGACATATGGCAGGCAGGGGTGCTGGGGGGCCTGGAGGCTGGCAGTTCTCCCAGCCCCCAGCAAATCCTCACTATCTGGGCTCTCTGGCATTCTCTGCTTCTCTCTTGGCTTCTGCTGCTGCTTTCTCGGCTTCTCTTTCGGCTTACTGGAGTCCCTGTGACACCGCACTTAAAAGCCCAGTCGAATCCCATCTATCTAGGCCCACACCCTACTCCAGGTGCCCGCCATCAGGCATGCATTCAGGACCGCAGGGATCCATCATCTATCCTGATGGGGGGAGGGCAGAAAAGCCTGATATTTTTCCTTACCCTACGGTCCACCCCCTCAGGGTTTTCTGCCATATAATCTACATATATATACAATTTTCTTAGCAAACGTAAACAATGCAGCCACGGCCCACAAAACCAAATACATCACATTATAACAAAATACAACAGAACAGAAATAAGTCCAGGCAGGGCCCCAACCTAGTGCAAAAGACAATTATTGGTACCAGCAGATGAGCCACCAAATCTGCTGCCAAAGGCACTGCTCATACGAGGGAGGGGAATCACTCACGGCATCTACTGTAACACACCAGGAACTGTCAGGCTTCCTGGCCTTCTCTGGCTGTAGTCTCGGCTACAAGCCACACACCGCATCCACCCCCAGGATGCACTAGCTCTGGGATTGGCGATTCTATTCTGTTGGGGGTAATCGCCAACCCTCAGGGTTTCTGTCTGCAGTAGCTCCAACACTCGGCCTTCATAGCCACCAATGCAACTTGCAGACCCCTGCACACAGGCCAAACCACTGCACAAGCACATGGGTCAGGGATCCAAACTCTACATATGGCTTGGGCTCCAGCCCAAGCCAAGTTCCCCACCCATCCCCCAAGGACGGGTTCCTCAGCTCCTCACCCTCACTCAAGAATGAGCAGGGCATCACCCACAGGTGATTTTACGAGACTCACAGGGCTTCAGCATACCCAGGCTGCTTAACAGCCCCTCAAGGCTTCCCAAACTTAGCATCAGCACCAGCTTTTGCCTTCTCAGTTGGCTTTTCTCCTCCGCCTAGCTGCTGGGCATACACAGGCTGCTTTTGGCCATCAAGGCCCACTGGCCACCCCCAGATTCTTAAAAAAAACAACCTGCCAAGGTCCTCCGCCTTCTGGCGGGATGGTCAGTCCAAGTCCATTAGTCGAAGTCTGTCAGGCCTCTCCCTGCATCAGCGCTGGCGAGCTCCAAATCATGGTCCTTTCTTTCCCCGATGATTCTTGCTTCCTCAGGGGTCATTGGCTGGTCCTCTCGGGTGTCTCCTCCTCTGGCTGAGGTCTCGTCCTGCAGCTCCCAGATGGTGTCCACCTTCTGTGCCGCCATGATGCCTCCAGCGTCGTCACAGGCAAACACAGTCTGTTACTCCTTAGTCCCTCCAGGCCTTCGGAGGGCTCCAATACCCGTCTGCATGGATCATTCTGCTGACTACACCAATTGTAAAGGCAGGAATACCACAGTGCAGGTTTTCTGATCCCATGCAGACTGGGTAAAGGAGGAGTCAGAGCTCTCAGTGGTTTTTTGCAGGATTTTATTGGGGCTCACCAGGCATATGGCAGGCAGGGGTGCTGGGGGGCCAGGAGGTTGGCAGTCCTCCCAGCCCCCAGCAAATCCTCACTATCTGGGCTCTCCAGCATTCTCTGCTTCTCTCTTGGCTTCTGCTGCTGCTTTCCTGGCTTCTCTTTCGGCTTCTACTGGCGTCCCCGTGACACCGCCCTTAAAAGCCCAGTCGAATCCCATCTACCTATGCCCACACCCTACTCCAGGTGCCCGCCATCAGGCATGCATTCAGGACCGCAGGGATCCATCATCTATCCTGATGGCGGGAGGGCAGAAAAGCCTAACATTTTTCCTTACCCTACAATTTTTTCCTCATTAAATAACTGGTTGGCTTCTAAAATTTCTCCAGCTTTGCATTATTTACCATAGCTTTATGAGGCTGCCTCCCAGCCCCCAGAAAGTCTTCACTCTCTCTAGGCTCTCCAACGGTCTCTTGTGGCCTTTGCTTCTCTGCTCCTTTCACTCTCTCTTTCATTCACTGTGCTGGCGTCCCCATGAAGCCGCCCTTATAAGCCCAGTCTCTCAGCCCAGGTGTACCCACCTACATATGCCCACACCCCACTCCAGGTGCCCGCCATGAGGCATGCATTCAGGACCACAGGGTTCCATCATCAATCCTAATGGCAGGAGGGCAGAAAAGCCTGATACTTTACTTACCCTACATTACCCTAGCTATGAGCATCACCAACATGTTACCTAAAAAGCCCACTTCCTAGGAAACCAAGCATTTTCTCCCAGATTTTATTCTCCAGGAAAATTCAATGCTCTTTCAATAAATATATAAATAGATCATACATACATACATACATGCATACATAATTTTATTTATGAAGCTACTATTTTTAAAGCATTTCTCTGATTGAAAAACAATCTCATTTAAATATTTAGAAAAAGGTACTGCAGTAATATGACTTAAAATAAGACAGAACTGTTTTAACTAGGCTTTGAAGATTAAGAAGTCCATCAGAAAAACATGAATAGAAAAAGAGAGGGAAGAGAGTTTTCTGGGTGCCTTTAGGAGCCAGACTCCTGGAGGCATGATGCAGTTGAATCCCTTCTCATTTCCCCACTACCTTTGCTTCTTGTTATGGTCAAAAAATTATACATACCTACACTAGACAATGAAACTCTAATACTTACTGTAAGTTATGGTCTGGTGAAAATTGACAAGATTTTCTATATATATGTATTGTAGGCCCTGAGCAGACATTCCTAGAGAAACATGGATGGAGTTGGAAATCTGACAGTATCTTCAGCCAGTAATAATACATGCAATGACACTATTGATGACTTCCGCAATCAAGTATATTCTACGATGTACTCTATGATCTCCGTTGTGGGCTTCTTTGGCAATAGTTTTGTGCTCTATGTCCTCATAAAAACATATCATGAGAAGTCAGCCTTCCAAATATACATGATTAATTTAGCAGTAGCGGATCTACTGTGTGTGTGTACACTGCCTCTCCGCGTGGTCTATTACGTTCACAAAGGCATTTGGCTCTTTGGTGACTTCATGTGCCGCCTCAGCACCTATGCCTTGTATGTCAACCTCTATTGTAGCATCTTCTTTATGACAGCCATGAGCTTTTTCCGATGCATTGCAATTGTTTTCCCAGTCCAGAACCTCAATTTGGTTACACAGAAAAAAGCCAAGTTTGTGTGTGTTGGCATTTGGATTTTTGTCATTTTGACCAGTTCTCCATTTTTAGTGTCCACATCTTACAAAGATGAGAAGAACAATACTAAGTGCTTTGAACCTCCACCAGACAATCAAACTAAAAACCACATTTTGATCTTGCATTATATATCATTGTTTGTTGGTTTTATCATTCCTTTTGTTATTATAATTGTCTGTTACACAATGATTATTTTGACCCTACTAAAAAATTCAATGAAGAAAAATATATCAAGTCGTAAAAAAGCCATAGGAATGATCATAGTTGTGACAGCTGCCTTTTTGATCAGTTTCATGCCATATCATATTCAACGCACCATCCACCTTCACTTTTTACACAATGAATCTAAGCCTTGTGACTCTGTCCTTAGAATGCAAAAATCAGTGGTCATAACCTTGTCTCTGGCCGCCTCAAATTGTTGCTTTGATCCTCTCCTGTATTTCTTTTCAGGGGGGAACTTTAGGAGAAGGCTTTCTACATTTAGAAAACATTCTTTGTCCAGCATGACTCCTGCACCCAAGAAGAAGGCCTCTCTGCCAGAAAAAGGAGAAGAAATATGTAATGAATAGTTTAAACCCATCTAGTACAAATTATTGAAAAGCTCCCCAAACAAGTATTTCCTCAAGTCATTTACAATAAAAATAAGCATTTCCATCAATATTTTGTAAATAACTAAATGTGTGCCTATAAATCTATCTCATTTATACATCTACCTTATTAGAGGTTGTAGATCTATTTTACGTGTTAAAAATTCATTCCATGACTATAAACTAAATTATAATCCATTTTTTGATCATTCCAAAAGTAGAGAATATTTACTTTTTAGCACTATAAAAAAAATTAGCCTGAGATCAAGGTTTTCCCCTAAAATAAGAACTTTACAAATGATAAGAACTAGCCTTTTTAAGGTATAGAATTAGCAAATAGTTCTCAACCATCCTAATATATCCCTTTGCATGCATGCCATCAGATGAGAACTGGAGATAACCCAGGAACTATACAAAATGTCTTGTCATCCTCTTCCTTTACAGTATTGACTGACTAGACAAAGTAAGGCCACCTATTCCAAAAGAGAATGTGCAAGTGGAAGACAGCCAAGTATTCAGACAAGTGGCCCTAAAGGAAATGTATTATCTGGAAACAGGAAGATAAACTTGGGCAAAGAATAATCAGCTTGTATCCAATTTTTTTTTTGCCTCCTCCTCATGCCCCCAAAGAGAATGGTGGATTTTTTGTTGCTAATTCTTACAGGGTCTCATAAGGAATTCTCTCTCTACACACATACAATCCTTTCTTTAGAAGTCAGACCATTGGCACTCCCATATATGAACAGAACGACTTTATCTTTTAAAAAGCAAAAATGAAGGTCTACTTTTCTATAGGATTATTGTGGGGATCAAAATTAACTACAATGGATTTCTGAATAAAAATTTGAGTGCTGATATATCAAATTATTTTAAGAAATACTGATATTTATGCAAATTGTATAATTATATGTAAAAATTTTTATGATGTGCATTGTAAGTGGAAGTTAATTATAAGTATTATTCTACACTTTTACTTTTATATTGGCATGTTGACAGGAATATCAGGATATGTTTACAGTGGTGTTTAATCACTTCTTGGCCTTTTGGCTAAGATCAAGTGTACAATGGTGTTTATATTACAGTAGAAGCTTTGTCTTTAAACAGCAACAATTTAATTATGGCTGAAATGTAATATTCATGGGCAAGCTTTTGCCAAAGTGTGGCATGTTCTTTAACTCTGTGTTTCAAAAGATACATAACCACAGAAGAAATAAATGATAATAGTGAAGAAGAAGCAAAGCTATGAAAGGACAAGTTCTATCTGAGTCTGCCACATTTCATTTCTGAAGTTACAATTCCTTGGGGAAATTTTCACAAAAAAAAAAAAAAGAAAAAGAGAAGACCTCTAAGGTATAGTGATAACTGGCATCCATTTATTTTTGCTTACATACCTGAGATTTGGCAGTACCTGTACTTTTACCTTATACCATTTTTTCCTTGCTTGAGACAAAGATCAAACACATTCATTGTAAAAGTCAATCTTGTTAGTGGTGCTGTGGTGGTGGATGAGAACATAAATTTGTAGAGGTGTATATCTATACCACTGAAACATGTGCAGTGTTGTAAATCAGTGTTACCTCAATAAACAATTATAAAAGGAAAAAGGTCTTCACTTACATTTACTGAGATTTCTGCTCTTCAATCAATATCGCATGGTAAACGAACTGGATGGAACATATTCCATCTATGGAACATGGAAGTCAGAGGAGCTGGATGCCAATCTAGGCTCTGTTACTTACTACTGGTGTAACCAAGTAAATGACATGAACTCCTGAGCTTCCTCATTTGTAAAATGGAATAGTAATACTTGTCCTCATTTTCTTACAAGGCATTTTTGAAACTCAAATGACGTCCTAACAAAAAGACATATATTTGTTAGCATATATATATATATATATATACTAAAATTTTACCTTAAAAATAGTCTGATAAAATGTTAAAGTATTTTAAATGGTTTTGTTACTTAAATATTGATATTTACTACATCAAATCTCAATTTTGAAAAAAATAGGACAAAATATGGTTATACTTAAATTCTATGGTACATCAAAGAATTTTGTTGCTGCTTCCTTATTTGGTTCCCCTATATTCCTCCTATAAGTAAAACTATTTGATATTTTTCTTTTTCCTTCTGCCTTATTTCACTGAGCATAATCCTTTCCAGCTCCATCCATGTGGCTGTAAATGGCATGTGTTTATCTTTTTGGATTCCTGAGTAGTATTCCATTATGTATATATACCACATCTTCTTGATCCAGTCATCTATTTTTGGGCATTTGGTTTGTTTTATATCTTACCAATTGTAAATAGCACTACAATAAATGTAGGGATGTGAATAACTTTTTGAATTAATGTTTTTGTGTCCTTTGGGTAGATTCCTAGGAGTGGAATTGCTGGGTCATATGGAAGCTCCATTTTCAGTAGTTTGAGGAAACTCCACATAACTTGGCATAGTGGTTGGGCCAGTTTGCATTCCCACCAGCAGTGTAGGAGGTTTCCTTTTTCACTACATCCTCGCCAACATTTGTTGTTTCCTGTTTTTTTTTTTTTTTTTTAATATGTGCCATTCTCACTGGTGTAAGGTGGTATCTCACTGTGGTTTGGATTTGCATTTCCTTGATTATAAGGGATGTTGAACATTTTCTCATATGCCTGTTGGCCTTTTGCATTTTCTCTTTGGAGAAGCTTACTTGTTCTATACCGCCTTCAGGCTTTTGCCTATGTTCTCACTTCCACTCTCAGTCCCACTTTCGTTTCACACAGAAATATACTTAAATCACCATACTTGAACCTCCAACACATTTATCACAAATTCGTTCTTCTTTCAAGTCACATGTATTTATAACCTACACCAAATCATTTAGTATGTATTTTTTGTGCAACATTTCCATATGGGTTTGTATTTTCTCTCAAAATGGAACCTTCACTTTTGTGGAATTGTCCATTCTTTGAGGTTGAAAATTATGCCTTTAAATTATAATACCGAGCATTTAATAAGTTTTTATTCAGTTTTCACTGCTTTATCTGTATCAATTTGTTTAATGTTTACAACCACCCTGTGAATTAAGTACCAATATTATCCCTACTTTGCTGATTTTAAAATTGAGGCCTAGGGAGGTTAACTTACCTGCCCAATATCAGACAAATGAAAAACATCAGAACCAGGGTTCAAACCCATGAAGTCTGACTCCAGATTCATGCTCTTAATCTGCTATCTACTGGACCATTTCAGCCTTTGAAATGTAAGGAGTAGACGGGAGTTTACAATTTTTAAAAAATAGGTTTAATTAAACTACGTCCTTAAATATCTTTATTATCTTTTTATTGAGTTAATATTGGTTTACATTATAGAAGTGTAACATCCCCACCTTCAGGCACTGTTATCAGGTGCACCTCCCACCAAAGAACCCAGAGTCCACACCCACAGACCCCTGTGCTCCCTCCCTTCTATGTTCCCGTCACTCCCCTTCTCCCTTAAATGTCTTTATTGCATAAACACATGAACCATGAACTAAGTCCTATGATATTGTTTGGAAGAACATCTTAACCATATTGTATAGCACCCAAGAGCACTGACATTAGAAGAACCTTCATGGTTTTAATTCCTAATGGCAATATAGTACCCTGTGGCATTACCATTCCATAGTCTTCCTTTCAAATGTAGTCAGCTATCCCAGCTCTCTTTCATTATACACTTATATTTTTATTTTGTTCAGCCTATATGTCTTCAATATCTCAAAAACAATAACTTAGGATCTTAAAGTAATGTTTTATGTTTTAATTTTCTGCTTTATAATTTTTTCAATTAAGAAGACATTGGTTTACAACACTGTATATGATTCAGAAATATAGTATCCCACAATTTCGGATGTATGATACCACATCACACACCCCACAAAGGCACCCATAGTCCTCCACCATAGAACATTGGCTCCCCTACACTGTTTGCTCTACACCTTCCCCAACCCCACTGCTAGCCTCAGTTTTATAGTAGGGTTTCTATCGTTTGTTTTTGTCTGAACCTTTGTTCTGTTTCTTTATATTCCACATGTGAGCAATACCATGAAGTATTTGTCTTTCTCCTTCTGACTTATTTTACTTAGCATAACCTCCTCCAATTCCACACTCCTTGCCTTCATCTTTTTATAGTTGAGCAGTACTCCAGTGTGTGTGTGTGTGTGTGTAACATCTTAATCCAGTCATCTGACCTTGGGCATTCATGTTGTTTCCATAACTTGGCTATTATAAATAGTGCTGCAATAAATATAGGAATACATATATACCTCCAAATTAGTGTTTTTTTTAATTATTCAGAAACATACTGAAGACTGGATTTGCTGGATTATACAGCAGAACAATTATTGATATTTTGAGAAATCTTCATATTTTTTCCATAGGGACTGGTGCAGTCTAAATTCCCACTAACAGTACCAAACTGTTCAATTTTCTTCACACCCTTGGCTACACCTGCTGTTTCTGGACTTTTTGATATGGACCATTTTCACTGTGGTATCTCACTGTGATTTTGATTTACATTTCCCTGATGATAAGTAATGATAACCATTTTTTTTTTCATGTGCCTATTGGCCATCTGTACGTCTTCTTTGGAGAAATGTCTATTTACCCTTCTGAATGCCTTTTTTATTGGATTTGTTCTTTTCTTTTCATTAAATTAAAACATAAGTTCTTCATGGGTCCTAGAAATTAGCCCTTGTCAACTGCATGATGTGCAAATATCTTCTCTAATTGGGTAGGATATCTTTTCATTTTAATGGCAGTTTCTTTTGCTATCCAAAAGTTTTTTTAATTTTATATCCTCCTATTTCTTTCTTTTTGCTTTTGTTTTTCTTGCTGTTGGAGTCAAGTCTGTACAGACATTGCTGAAGCCAATATCGTGGAGTGTTTTGCCTGTTTTCTTCTGTGTATTATATGATTTCTGGTCTTATATTCAAGTCTTTAAACAATTTTTATTTAATTTGTGTATATTGTGAAAAAGTGGTCTAGTTTCTTTTTTCTGCATATGGCTGTCTTGTTTTCCCAGCACCATTTCTGAAAAAGACTTTCCTTTCTTCATTGT